AGGAGGAAGGACAAGATACCGCATAGTCGACGTAGCGGCCAGGGGTAAAATGAGTGGCTGCCTTCTTGCCTCATGGATCACAGCCACCATTGTTTTGCGATTTTCCGTGCCAACTCTGTTTGCACCTAGAATTTAGAGTATGCATGGTGTGTGGACATTGCTATGGCATAAAAAGCGAGATTCACGAATAGGAAAGGGCGGGGTGAATAATAAAATTCCAATGTCATGAACAACGACTACAGAAGAGGAGTAAAGAAGGTGATTTCCATCTTTAGCACCCTCCTCAGCCTGTCCTTCCCCATGTCCCAAGAACCTTTTAATATGGAATGCCATTTGTCAAGTGTTGGAAGCTATCGTACTGGATAGTGGAATAGCTGCGGAAGCTCTTCTTGATGAGGTGCCTCATATAGTCTGCCGCTTCTCTCACGTTCTTATCCAACACAAAGCTGTCTTTGAAATTTTGGATTGAAGGAGAATTCACGCTCGTAAAAGCTTTTGTCTGTGCTAGAAAATCTTCCAATAAGATGACTCGTGACTTTGCAAAAAGTTGGATTGATAGGGTCAGGCATAACTTTGGGGTTAGTGGGAACAATATTACACCTGAACTATTGGAAAACTCACAATCTGGAATCCTTCACCCTTGTACGAATTTGCCTTCATATTCTAGATGATCTGGTTGATAGCAACACAAATGAGAATGGGTATTAAAGAAAAGAAGCTTGTTTAATTGCAGGAGTGTGGAAACAGAACATGATGTGAACATGGAAAACATATGGAAGCCTGCTATGAGATCTCCGAAGGTTTAGGCAAAAAAACTGATTCCAGTACACAAAACGCAAACCCAAAACACCAACTTCTCCACCTGTCCTCCACTCTCATCTCCCTATAACTCGACACCTACCAACAAACCTACTCCAACCAAAAATAAAAGGAAATGGCTACCGGATCTCCGACAAAACTGATGGACACCAGCCCGAATCGTCGCCTCAAAGCCCTCTTCGCAAAAGCCAAGCGACAACTCGAGCCCCAAAACGAGACCCAGCATCCCGGAACCACCCCGGCCTCCAGCGCACCAATGTACGCTTCCACCGGCTGCGCACTTGAGGAACTTGATAGCCAAATTATTAAGGAGCAATACAAGGTTATTGAGGCCCAGGAGAAGTGTATTCAGATGCAGAGAGCCAAAATCGAAGCTCAGAAGGTAACTATTGAGGGACTGAGGAAGCAAATTAGGGATCGTGGTCAGTAGGAGGAACAAGGGAGAGGATGGAGGTGGAGATGGGGGTGTGATGGGGCGGAGGTTTCATTGGTTATCAGGTTTCGGTGTCAATTTCTGTTATAACGACCATTTTTCTTAACTTTGCTCTAAGTTGGAAACTTGGCAGCCATACCTGAGCAAAACTAGAATACCCACCAAGGGCTGTGAATAGATATTGAGTCATTTCGAACTTCGAAGGTGACACATCCATGAGTTATCACTCGGTATGGAATTTGAGGGTCCAGCGGTGGGTCAAACAATTATTTGTAAACTCTCCCTCAACTAGTATTTGCCATTACTACCACTCTATCCTACCCCGGGGAATTCAGTCGAGTGCTATCCAAGTGGTTCAACTTAACGGTGAATGATGAACCGAATTGATACTCTAACACGTCCTAGTGGAATGCCTGGGCGCTCTTTGATGCTTCCTAATCTCATAAATTACTTTTTTTACTAATTGCGCAAGGCGGGAGGAAGAGAGTTTAAAGAATTTTATCTTGAAAGGAATTGTGGCCTGCCCCTCTCTCTAGCCATCATACAGTATTGTGCTAACTCTGCCAGTGTGCCATTGTTTCCAATAAAAGGATTCTCAGACAAGCTCCTGCACAGGCCGTAGTTATCACAGTATTCTTGGACAGATATTACAGCTTTTACTTGTAGCAACCAACTTATTTGTACATGACCTTCTTGAGAAAGCACAGTGGGTTTATATATTGAGACCGGGGCGAAAGGACAGCGGAATGGTAAACGATCACCGCAGACTACGGTCAACTATTCTCGTACCTGAGGGTCGGTATAGCATCCAGAGGATACCTGACACGATCCCTCGCTTTTTCCTTCACCGTGTGATGGATCGTTCAATATACCTTATTGCAAGGAGAGAACTGAGCCCCTGGGCTCCTACCGATTGCTTAGGGGTTAATTAATTCTTGGCACCTTACCCACTGCGCCAGCTAGGTATTTCATGTATTACTGTTGCTGTGGAATAGATACTTGTCCCGATTGCAGATGGATTTGTATTTTTTCCCCCCTAAGATTGAGAGTAACGGTGTTATATTGTTAATCACTAAATCGAACATAAGGGTAGCACATCTCCAAGCGAATAGAAGACCAGCTGCGGATACCGATTACTAGCTGCCAAGTACAAAACCCTTTTGTTTCAGGGGGAATGGCTACAGCTAAGACATAATTGATAAAAAAAATGAAGTAGGTTAAAGGATGAGTTAGAGGGGTTTTTTGGGTGATTACAAGCTAAGCATTCACAGCCGCAGTCTGTCAAGTATCTGAAATGAAAAGTCGTCAGTGTGATATAGCGGAAGAGGTTGTTTGAGTGCCGTTCCGACCAACTGGAACTCTTTAAGACCATATTTAGATCTTCAAGGAAGTAAATATATTCGAGTAGAGAGACTGATAGGGCTAACTTAACTTAGGGATCAATTGCAAATTTTTGTTTGGAGTGACAGGTTACGGCGCGCTTAACCGCTTTAATGTAGAGCCCACCTCCTCGTGCTGTTCTATTATCATACAAGTACCGTATGATACTGGTATGATATTATGATAAAGCAAGGAAGTTGATCAGTTATTAGTTTTGAGACAATAATATTATTGTGAATAGTTACTTATATCATACAGTACTTGTACAAGTATCATATCATGAGGTGACTGATAAGATGGAATAAGGGAAGGTGTCATTCCCGAATATTTGCACTGTGCTCAGGTGAACGCGGGGGGCTATCTTCTGCCTTCGCGCCTTCCTAGGAGCAAAGTTTCCTCCAAGATGCGCTTACAACCACAATCAGACATGGCTTCGCGCACGGCTTTTCTTATTTTCTTCGTGAATCTTTTTGTGTCATGGGTTTCTGCTGCTCCATTGACTGGCGAGCGAGTTCTTGCTGTTATAGATGAGCAAGCTGATAGTGCAAAATACTCACAATTTTTAACGGACCTTAGGGGTGAGGCGCCAATTAACTTCTTTGGAATTGCGAGTTTGTTTTGCTAAATCAACCTATTCTTTGACTGTAGGAAGAGGTTATGATATCAAACTCGAGTCCGCGAAGAAAGACACACTGGCGCTGTTTAAGCACGGAGAGAAAGCTTGGGATCACCTTATTCTGTTTCCATCTAAGTTTAAAGGTGATAATATGCTCCTTTCTCTTAGCTTCCCCAAACCGTTCTGACACGGTTTGAATAGGATACGGACCCGCTCTTACTCCCCAGCAATTGCTCGAGTTCACCAAGCTCGGAGGAAATGTTTTGATCCTCACTTCGCCCTCTACCATCCCCGAACAGATTCGTGAGCTCGCCCGCGAGCTCGACGTTGGTCTTCCCCCAAAGGACTATATTGCCGTTGACCATTTCAACTATGACACCGTTTCCAAATCGGAGAAGCATGACGTTATCCTGGCCAGCCGGCCCGCCGTTTCTCCTGCCGTTCATAACTACTTTAGTGGAAAGCAGGACGATTTGATTGCGTTTCGTGGTGCCGGACATACTCTCGGCAACGGACCGTTGTTGGTTCCTGTCCTTACTGCCCCGAGAACTGCCTACACGTATGATAGAAAAGAGGATTTTGCTTATGCTCAGGATCCCTGGGCAGCTGGTACTCAAATGCAACTCGTTTCGGCCATGCAAGCGCGAAATAATGCTAGAATTACTCTCGTCGGAAGTGTTGACATGTTCTCCAATGAATTCTTCGACATGAAGGTCAAGGGGCCTAGATCAACGGAACCACGGAAGACCGCCAACAAGGAGTTTTGCAAAGATGTTGCCGCTTGGACCTTCGGGGAGAGGGGTATCGTCAGGGTCAATGCTATCAGGCACTATCTGTCTAATGAGCCCGATGCCCCTACAAACCCAAACATGTACAGGATCAAGAACGATGTGGTATGTATGGGTTGTGGTTTGAACTATGGAGCTATGTCGCTAACTGTTGTACAGACTTTTGAAATTGAGCTTTCTGAGTACGATATCGACCGCTGGGTCCCCTTCAAGGTTCCTTCGGGCGATAGCCTCCAGCTTGAGTTTATCATGCTTGATCCATACTACCGGGTTCCGCTTCTTCCTGCATCTACTTCATCCAACTATACTACCTACACCACCTCTTTCAAAATTCCGGACCAGCATGGTGTTTTTGCCTTCAGAGTAAACTACAAGCGCCCATACATCACCTATATTGATGAGAAGTATAGTGTGACTGTTAGACACTTTGCGCATGACGAGTATACTAGGAGTTGGAATATTAGTGGTGCCTGGGTCTGGATTGCCGGTATTGTGGTAACTATCACTGGGTGGATTGTGTTCTGCGCCTTATGGCTCTGGAGCGCACCGACTGCTGCTAGGGTGGGGTTGAAAAAGACGGAGTAAAATTTTGCATTTTTTATGGAGATTTTTTCTTTTTGATAGGGTTATGTATTATTAAAGAGTGGCTAGATATCCGGACGATGGTGCTAAGCTAGGATAGCAGCTTCAATTGCTTTTTGAATGGTGTTGCGAGATGGATTGTGATGTTTGGACTGACTTACTCGAGGAGTGGATATTATTGCTTATGAAGTAATTTTTGAGGGCTTTAAGTTGTAAGAATCTTTCGATGATTCCATACAATCCTGTCAGTAACATCCTTTGGCATACAATAAACAGGATCAACCTCCTTGAGTCCCTCGTAGCCCAACAAACTCAAGCCAGCAACCCCAAAGACTGTGTGAAAAACATCCGCTACATCTCCCTTCCTGTCGGCAATCCCCCCGTTCTCCTCATCTTGACAAGAAAGTATGAACTCGACTAGCTTCTCCCTATCAATCCACTGTAATTTCCCAATCATAGCCATACTGCTCAACACCCACCAGGAATAACACACATCCTCCAGTTTCTCCGGCCGTCCATTAAGCCCTCCATTCGGTAGCTGCCTCTCGCACAGCCAGTCCCCCAGTAGGTTAACCTGATCCTCCGACAACGACTTCTCAAAAACCCCCGCAATCTTCAACGCCCCAACGCAAGTGAATATCTGTCCGGCATGGCTCTCGGCCGCCGGTGCCATCCCAAACCCTCCATCAGCGTTCAAACACCTAAGCACAAACCCCACTGCCCCCTCCGCCGAAACTCCGGGCGCATCGCCCAGCCTCCCGAGTAATGACAGCGTGCTCAACGCACAGTAGACAAATCTGGAATCCACCTCCCCCCATTCATCACCCGAAAAGCTCCCGTCGGGGTTCTGTAGCTTGGAGACGTATTCGACAACTTTATCGCCATCTATTTCATCGAGTGCGTCGATGGTAGCGAGTATTTGAATACCGGAGAGGGTGTAAAGGAGGTGTGGGTCGTGTCCGGGCGAGGCGCCGAGGCCGCCGGAGGAAGGGTGGTAGCAGGACTTCACAAAGTCGATAGTTTCAGAACGGGGGAGAGCTGTTGGGTGGTTGAGGAGGTGGAGGGAGGTGAGGCCCCAGTAGACGCCTGAGAGACGGAGGTGCGAGGTTAAGTGGTAATCTAGGCGGTCGCGCTTGGTATCGAGGGATTGGATGTAGGCCACATGTTTAGAGGTTAGGAGGGTAGAGGCCATGGTTGTAGTTGTTACTTTGTTGGATGTATGTATGGAGTTGTGGGGGGGAGCTGTGGTGAGGCGAGGATACTGTATCTTTATGGATTATATTGCTGCGGATTATTGTTTTTCCTGACCCGGTTTGACCCCGCACAAAGCTAGGGGTTGTTGAGCGTAGGTTTTAGGAGAAGCTTATGGCCCGGGAGTTCCTTTGCATATTCTTTACGGGATCCGAGTCCGTCTGTTCAGAGTAGCTTGGATCTTGTGTTATAATTCCTGCTCTATCTGTGCTCTCATTCTCTTTGCAGTTGACGACTTCTGTATCTTCACAGAGAGCTTGCTGAGTTTCACCGCACGCCTAAGATGGTGGAGGGATAGCGATTGTTGTACCCTAAAGTTTGTTTTGACTTCCCAGCCATACCAGCAGGCTTGCTGGCGACATTTCAGGCACCCATCTGAAACAGATACCCACTACAACCTTCACAAACACCCCGGAGATGCCAACCAAAGCACTTAAAGCGGCTATAAAAGCTGCCAAATCCCACCTGGAAGCACTAGAATGGGTGAAGGCCGAAACAGAGAGTCGGAAGGCTCTAGAGGAAGATCCAAAAAGTTATATTGGGTTCGTGTTTTTCTCGTGCAGGGGGGCGACTGATCGAAGTAATGTACTGATGGTCGTGATGGCTTGAGGGAATTCTTAGTAAGGTCATTTTAGGCATAAGTCTCTTCCGACAGGAACGATACCAAGAGAGCGAGACGGCGTACCTGGAAGCTATTGCTACGGAGGAAGTTGAGCGGGGGAAGACAAGCAACCCGGAGAGCTTTCATGCATGGAAGGGCCTTGTCGACCTTTATGAGAAGTTCGAGGGGAAGGTGGACTCTTACATTGACGCTGCGGTCAAATTGGCTACTATTTACGAAGCCATGTATGTAGTTCTACGATTACAGGAACCGGCGGGTGGAAAAGGCTGATAGTTTGCTTAGGGATGACCGGACGAAGTGTCAGACAGTGGTAGATAAAATAGTACCTTTTGTGAAGGAGAAAGGAACAGTAGCACAGGTTTGTATCCATATTACTACATAGTGGGATTGATCGTTGGGGATTAATTTGGGTTAGCAAAAACGTGCCTTGCGAGTTCTTCTTCCGGAAAGTCCAATATTTGGATACCTGGAGGGCCGTATACCCCATCCTTCGCATACCCTCGGAAAACTGATTCACCTTGTAGAAGAGGAGGAAAAGGTGAAGATAAACAAGGAGATTGCGAACCGGAGGTCTCGACTTGGCGCCGTGCTTGGCCAAGTTACGTTAGAGGTTAGGAAGGAGGTTTATGGCAATTCTCCGGTATGTTTAAACCGCTACGTTCGTTGTTCTTAGAGCTTACTTTCTGGTCGGGCTAAATTTAGTTGGAAGATCTATACCAAGAGCTTATCAATTGGTCGGACGATGAGGAAGTAAGGCGGGAGGCAGATACCAAGCTGCTACAACATTGTTATGAGAAACTCTTAGCCTTTCCAAAAGAGAAGAAACCGATGCTCAGAAACAAAGTCTGGAAACTGGCCGATGGGTTGGTGATCCTTAAGTATCCGTATGAGTTAGCGTGGCATATTGTTATCGAGTGGAAGGACTGCGAAAATATTGGTACAGCCCTACTGACGGTTTTAGTGCTTTTCAATTGCTGATCGAGCTGAATAGGTGAGCATGATGTGAATGTATTAAGAGAGTACATTGGATTTTTTCCTACTAGCACACTAGCCATTATCTTGAATGCATATCTTGAGTCTGAGATATCACCGTTCCCACTTCGCTAAATTTGTTAAGATGTCTGAAGCCTTAACAGCACA